GACCTTAATCCGTGCAAGAGGGCTGGCTGTTATGCGAAATGTTCGGTATGCGAATGAATTTTCCCCATAAGAAATAATGGAAATCAAATTAATCCGTGCAAGACACCCAAAAGTATGAAAAAAAAAATTTTACCACATGAAATATACATTTTCCTACACACAAAGAGAAGGATACATGCACAATAGTAGAGTAGTACATGCACAATATATATTGTGCATGTACTACTCTACTAAATGAAGAATAAATGACACTTACCTTTATTGAAGATGCAGCAATGACTGATGAGACACTGTGTCCTGGGAGTGCCTTTTCCTCCTGAGTACTGTAGGTCCTGTTTGGTATTTTCTTCCAGAACAGGCCTTATCACACTGTATGTCACTACGATTCTTAAATCTCTCAAACCAACCTTTGCTGGCTCTAAATTCACCAATATGAGCACTAGTTCCAGGCATTTTCCCTGTTCACCGGGTGTTAGTCGACTGGTGTGGGTTGCATCCTGGGAGACAAGATTAAGGACCCCAATGGAAATAAGTTAGACAGTCTTCGATGACACTGGCTTTTTTGGGCTATCCTGGGTGGCAAATCCTCTGGGGTTAATTGTTTCTTGGTATTCTCAATAAGCCACACCAACAACGGTGCTACAGCAGCAGCAGCAGCAGCTGACGGTGGTACAGCAGCAACAGACGATGCTACAGCAGCAGCAGACGATGCTACAGCAGCAACTGACGATGTTACAGCAGCAGCAGACGATGCTACAGCAGCAGCAGCAGCAGCAGACGATGCTACAGCAGCAGCAGCAGCTGACGGTGGTACAGCAGCAACAGACGATGCTACAGCAGCAACAGACGATGCTACAGCAGCAGCAGACGATGCTACAGCAGCAGCAGACGATGCTACAGCACAGCAGACGATGCTACAGCAGCAGCAGACGATGCTACAGCAGCAGCAGACGATGCTACAGCAGCAGCAGACGGTACTACAGCAGCGGGAGCAGCTGACGGTGGTACAGCAGCAGCAGCTGACAGTGCAGCAGCAGCTGACGGTGGTACAGCAGCAGCAGCAGCTGTACACCAATAGTAGCGAGGGTTGATTGGGGGTTTATTATACAACCTGGCCAACTCGGAGACACGCACTCCACTTTCATACTTATCAATGATCTTTTCTTCATCTCCATAGTAATTTCCACCCTTATTGCTGTAGGGTTGGCACTAGAAGCTTTCTTGGGGCCCATGGTCACTTATTTTCCAGAAAAAAATCACCAAAAACACTGTAATAATACGAAATGTTCCGATTGTATGCTTGGATGTTACCGCGGAGGCTGGCTGGTAAACAATGCCACCGGCGGAACATGTGAGCGTGGCTCAGGCCGCACATTGGATGCGTCTCGGACGAAGGGCGCTGAGCGGGTTTTTGGGCGGTATGCGAGGCAAAATTTTAGCGATCAAAGCGTCCGGTATGCGGATTGTCCGTTATGCAAGGCGTCCGGTATGCGGGGGTCCACTGTATTTATAGATGGGGTTGTAAGACAAGTAAATGCGAGGGTCTTGGCAAGAGGCGTGGAGTTAAAAGACAAAGAATCACACAAAGTGGAAGTTGTCACAGTTGCTCTTTGCTGATGACACTGTGCTCTTGGGAGATTCTGAAGAGAAGCTGCAGAGATTGGTGGATGAATTTGGTAGGGTATGCAAAAGAAGAAAATTAAAAGTGAATACAGGAAAGAGAAAGGTTATGAGGAAAACAAAAAGATTAGGTGATGAAAGATTGGATATCAGATTGGAGGGAGAAAGTATGGAGGAGGTGAATGTATTCAGATATTTGGGAGTGGACGTGTCAGTGGATGGGTCTATGAAAGATGAGGCGTATCATAGAATTGATGAGGGGAAAAGGGTGAGCGGTGCACTTAGGAGTCTGTGGAGACAAAGAACTTTGCCCTTGGAGGCAAAGAGGGGAATGTATGAGAGTATAGTTTACCAACGCTCTTATATGGGTGTGAAGCATGGGTGATGAATGTTGCAGCGAGGAGAAGGCTGGAGGCAGTGGAGATGTCATGTCTGAGGGCAATGTGTGGTGTGAATATAATGCAGAGATTTCGTAGTTTGGAAGTTAGGAGGAGGTGCGGGATTACCAAAACTGTTGTCCAGAGGGCTGAGGAAGAGTTGTTGAGGTGGTTCGGACATGTAGAGAGAATGGAGCGAAACAGAATGACTTCAAGAGTGTATCAGTCTGTAGTGGAAGGAAGGCGGGGTAGGGTTCGGCCTAGGAAAGGTTGGAGGGAGGGGATAAAGGAGGTTTTGTGTGCGAGGGGCTTGGACTTCCAGCAGGCATACGTGAGCGTGTTTGATAGGAGTGAATGGAAACAAATGGTTTTTAAAATTTGACGTGCTGTTGGAGTGTGAGCAAAGTAACATTTATGAAGGGATTCAGGGAAACCGGCAGGCCGGACTCGAGTCCTGGAGATGCGAAGTACAGTGCCTGCACTCTGAAGGAGGGGTGTTAATGCTGCAGTTTAAAAACTGTAGTGTAAAGCACCCTTCTGGCAAGACAGTGATGGAGTGAATGATGGTCAAAGTTTTTCTTTTTCGGGCCACCCTGCCTTGGTGGGAATCGGCCAGTGTGTTAATAAAAAAAAAAAATATGAGATGTTGAAGCCAGACTTTTATGAGTGACTGCAAGAATAACATTTTCTTTAGTCCAACATCAGAGAAAATGTGTTGCTGGGAGTAACTGTAGAAAATTATTCCTTTCATATGTAAGTTTATTCAGGTATACACAAATAGTCGCATAGATAATTATACATAACAGCATATGTGTAGAGAACCCAGGATAACCCAAAGAAGTCAGACAGTAACTTATTTCCATTGCCTTCTTGGGCTGCTGACACTTACTGTGTTGTCTAAGCCTACTCGTGGTGCCCCTGCTTTTCATTGGAGGGATGTTGCACAGTCTGCAGAGTCTTTTGCTTTCGTAGGGAGTGATTTTCGTGTGCAAAGTTGGTACTAATCCCTCTACGATATTTTTTTTTTTATTAACACATTGGCTGATTCCCATCAAGGTAGGGTGGCCGAAAAAAGAAAAACTTTCATCATCACTCACTGTCTTGCCAGAGGGGTGCTTTATACTACAGTTATAAAACTTCAACATTAACACCCCTCCTTCAGGGTGCAGAAACTGTACTTCCCATCTCCGGGACTCAAGTCCAGCCTGCCGGTTTCCCTGAATCCCTTCATAAACGTTGCTTTGCCCACACTCCAACAGCACGTCAAGTATTAAAAGCCCTTTGTCTCCATTCACTCCTATCATGCTTCACACACATACAAGTGTGTTAGTACAACTATACTCTCATACATTCCCCTCTTTGCTACCAAGGACAAAGTTCTTGGTCTCCACCATTCACCCTTTTCCCTCATCAATTCTATGATTCACCTCAATAATCGTCCGGCCTGAAAGTCGTCCATTTTAGAAATAGCCCCATTATTTCGTCTAAACATTGGCTCGCAAATGGTCTGTTAACTCGCTAATCGTCTTTCGTCCTGGACGCGTACTCACGGCTCTAAGCTATTCCCAGCCAGTGTGCCATTGTATACCAGTGAGCGACAGTCCCCTCACGTGTTCATACAAAATATTTCATAATATTCCATTGATTTTAGTGCTTGCAAGTGCTAAATAAGCTACCATGGTAAAGAGGGTGAGAAATACGATTGAAAACATCATTGAACAATATGAAAGGAGCAAGTGTTTCAACAGGAAGAGCAACAGATCACAGCTCAGGATCTTGCTGCAGAGGAGGAGGAAGAGAGATAGAAGAAGGTGCCTTCTTCAGAAATTAAGGAGATTTTTGAAATGTGGGGTAGGATGGAAAGATTTATGGAGAAACATCACCCTGAAAAGGATGTTGCAAGCCATATCGGCAACTTGTACAGTGACAGTCTTGGCCCATTTTAGGGAAGTTTTAAAGAGATGCCAGAAACAGAGTGCTCTTGACAGTTTTTTTGAGAGAGACAACTCCAGTGACTCTCAAGCTGGTCCTAGTAGCATTAAGAAACAGAGAAGAGAAGTAACCCCAGAAAAGCACTTGGTACCTGAGGTGTTGACGGAAGGGGATTCCCCTTCCAAACAGTAATTCAATCCGTCTCCTCCAGTCTTCCATACACTAAGAAGAATTGCCAATAAAGGTAAGTGTTATGCTGTTAATGTTTCATTCATCATGTGCCATGTAAAAAATTTGTTTGTTTAATACTTCTGGGTGTCAGGAACGGATTAATTGTATTTACATTATTTCTTATGGGGAAAATTGATTCGAAAATCGTCTATTTCGATAATAGTACCACTTCCAGGAACGGATTATGGATGATAATTGAGGGACCCCTATACATTGAACAACCACAGTGACATCACGCATCCTTGTCTAAGGCCTACTTTTACTGGGAAATAATCTCTCTCCTACATACTCTAACTTGAGCCTCACTATCCTCGTAGAAACTCTTCACTGCTTTCAGTAACCTACCTCCTATACCATACACCTGCAACATCTGCCACATTGCCCCCCTATCCACCCTGTCATATGCCTTTTCCAAATCCATAAATGCCGCAAAAACCTCTTTACCCTTATCTAAATACTGTTCACCAATATGTTTCACTGCAAACACTTGGTCTACACACCCCCTACCATGAAGGTTCTCTACATTCTCCAGGTCAGCAATTTCACCTGCCTTGAAAGGCACTGTTAGTGTACAGCAATATTCCAGCCTAGAGAGAACAAGCAATTTGAAGAGGATTATGGGCTTGGCATTCCTTTGTTTTCAAGGTTCTCATTATTCATCCTATCATTTTTCTAGCAGATGTGGTAGATACATTGTTGTGATCTTTGAAGTGAGGCCCTCATACATTATCACTCCCAGGTCCGTCACGTTAGTTTTTCGTTCTATTTTGAAAAACTAGAGCGAAGGACTTAGGAGTGTATATAAAACAAACTGTATAACGAAATAAATCAGGCACTCACCTCATTAAATCCATTGTACTGTTGACAAGAGGGGCATATCCAACTTTCTTGGTGTCTGTATTCAACCTTAGTGTCTGTATTACAGAACCAGCAATTTACCCTGACTGGAAAACGTTGTCTGGAAGTAAAAAATATATGCATTTTTTAATATAATTATATTAATTACATTAATTTTACAAATGAAAGCCTGAGTGATTTGGTGAAATGTTCAGGGCACTGCATGCATCCCAACCAGCACAACACGGCACTAACTATTGCAGACTGGACACAACAAGCACAGCTCCGTTCCTGTAGCTACAAAAAGGTACAGGTAATTATAAAAATACAGAAATAACATTTAGTAACATAGGCTAATATATACAGTGGAGCCCCGCCATTCAGCAGCCGCGACTTTTGTGAAATCCAACTTTCAGCAAGTTTTTTTCGGCAAAATTTAGCTTCATGGTTCATAATTGGACTCACGACTCAGCGCCCATCCAGTACGCATCTGCCCGTCACTGCACACACAAAGCCAGTCTCCAGCACTATTCACACAGTGTGCCATTGTTTACCAGCACATGACCATCACCCTGCAGGTTCATACAATACATTTCATAATAATCCATTTTTTTGTGCTTGCAACTGCTAAATAAGTCACCATGGGCCCAAGGAAAGCTAGTGCCAGCCCTTTGGTAAAGAAAGTGAGAAACACAATCAAATTCAAGAAGGAAATCACTGAAAAATATGAGAGCGGAGTGCATGTTACAGAACTTGCCAGGATGTATGGCAAACCCCATTCAACCATCACTTCGACTGTGGCGAAGGGAAAGGAAATAAAGTTTGCCATTGTTGCAAAAGGGGTAGATATGCTGACAAAATAAAGGAGATTGCAAACCCTCGAAGAAGTGGAAAGGTTATTGTTGGTGTTGATTACCCAAAAACAGTTAGCAGGAGATAGTATTATGCAGTCGATATGTGAAAAGGCAAGGCAGTTGCATGACCATCTTGTAAAGAAAATGCCTGCAACAAGTGATGATGCTTGTGATTTTAAGGCCAGCAAAGGTTGGTTTGAGAGATTTAAGAAGCACAGTGGGATACACAGTGTGGCAAGGCATGGTGAGGCTGCCAGTTCTGACAAAAAAGCAGCTGAGAAGTTTGTACAGGAATTTAAGGAGTATGTAGACACTGAAGAATTCAAGCCCCAACAAGTGTTCAATTGTGATGAAAGAGGCCTCTTTTTGGAAGAAAATGCCAAAGAGGACCTACATCATGCAGGAGGAAATGGCACTCCCAGGACACAAGCCAATGAAAGACAGGATAACTCATGTTTTGTAGTAATGCTAGTGGGGATTGCAATGTAAAGCCTTTACTGGTGTATCACTCTGAAAATCCCAGAGTGTTAAGAAAAACAGTGTCGCCAAGAGTAATTTGTGTGATGTGGAAGGCTAACAGTAAGGCATGGGTCACAAGGGAAATTTTCCTTGACTGGTTTAATGAATTGTTTGGCCCCAGTGTGAAGAAATACCTCCTGGAAAGTAAATTGCAACTCAAGTTCCTCCTGGTAATGGACAATGCTCCTGCTCATCCTCCAGACTTGGAAGAGAAGAGCAAATGATGGAGGAGTTTAGCTTCATCACAGTGAAGTTCTTGCCCCCCCTAATACAACTCCTCTCATCCAGCCCATGGACCAGCAGGTCATTTCAAACTGTACACCAAAGCAGTGTTTCAAAAGTGCTTTGAAGTGACCTCAGATACTGAATTGACCCTAAGTGTGTTCTGGAAAGATCACTTGAATTCCTCACTTACATAAACCTTGTAGTTAAGGCTTGGGAGGGAGTGACTTGCAGAACTTTGAATTCTGCTTTGAGAAAATTGTGGCCACAATGTGTACAAGAGAGGGATTTTGAAGGGTTTGGGGCTGACCCTAAGGAGCCTATGCCAGTTGTGGAAAGTATTGCCTCACTGGGGAATTCCATGGGGTTGGATGCGAGTTTCAAGGATGTGGAAGAGTTGGTAGAGGACCATGATGAAGAGCTAACCACTGCAGAGCTGCAAGAGCTTCACCTGCAACAGCAAGAGACCACAGCTGAGGAAATTGCTGCAGAGGAGGAGGAAGAGAGATGGAGGAAGGTGCCTTCTTCAAAGATTAAGGACATTTGTGCAACGTGGACTAAAGTGCAATTATGTATTTATGGATGAACTTCACTCCGACAAAGCTGCTGCAGGCAATGTTGGCAACATGTACAATGACAGTGTTGTGTCCCACTTCAGAAAAATCTTAACCCCTTTGAGGGTTTCGGACGTACTAGTACGGCTTAGGCGCAGGGTTTTTTGACGTACTAGTACACAAATTCTAGCGCCGTCAAATCTCGCGGGAAAAGGCTGGTAGGCCTAGATGTGAGAGAATGGGTCTGTGTGGTCGGTGTGTGCGGAAGAAAAATATCTGGGACCCAGTGGTGCATTGTGGGAACGTGATCTTAGTAAACAATGTTCACCATGCCTCGCGGTAAGAAGCTCCTCACTCCTTGGCGAATTGGGACACTTTTGTTCCCCAGTGACAGTTCTAATACAGATGAAGTGCCAATGAAGATGAGTTTCAAGGTTTTGGTGAGGTTTTGACCGAAACTAATGATCATAATATCGGTAATAGTGAGGAAAACCCAGACGACCCTCAGCCTTCCACCTCTGGTGCTGGGCTGTCTTGTTCACGTTCAGTTGTACCAGAATCCAAGAGGAAACTTCTATTTTCCCAAATCCCAGACTCAGATGAGAGCATGTGTGATGATAGTGATAGTGAATATGAGCTACAAGCTCGTCAAACTAGTTCCAGTAGCGATAGTGAAGTGCAATATTCCCCAGTGAAGCGTCAGTATATACGACGATATATGCACTCTGGTAGTGTGCCATATGCTATTCCAAGGGGAAGGAGTGCATCTCGGAGTACATCCCGTGGCTGTACAACAGGAACAGACAGTGAAAATGACGATGATACTGTTGCAATTGGGATGGAAAATGTGCGTGGTGATAGTGGTGCTGGCGGTGAGGCACCAGCAGTGGGCCATGCTGCCACCCACGCTGCTGCCTCAGCTGATCTACAACAAAGGCCACCATCCCCCACCCACCCACCACACCAGCCTCCACAACCACAACCTCTACAACCACAACCACCTGTCATTGTCCAGTACCCACCAGCAAACCGCACCTGGGATTGGCAGGAAGCTGTCAATTTTGTTCCAAATGCCCACCAGTTTAATGACAGCCAAAGTGGAATACGGCCATCTTGTACACTTGGGAACAATGCCACTGAACTGGAAAGTTTTGAGTTATTCTTTGACAAACCCCTGATGGAAAGTATCGTCATGGAAAGCAACACATACTACGAGTACACCATGGCAAACACATTACTTTCACCAAAATCACGTCTACACCAGTGGAAGGAGGCAACTGTGGCTGAGATGTATCTTTTCTTTGCCACAATAATGCTTATGCCACATGTGTATAAGCACAAAGTGAAATCATACTGGTCAACAGACCGCCTGATTGCAACCCCAGGTTTCAGTGATATAATGCCAGTGAATCGATTTGTGCTAATGTTACGTATGCTTCACTTCTCAGACAAAACCAGGCCTGACAGAACTGACAGGTTATATAAGATTAGGAATGTGTTTGTGTATCTTAAAGAGAAATTCAGTACGCATTTTTATCCCTTCAGGAAGCTTGTAACTGACAAGTCTTTGATTCTGTTCAAAGGAAGACTTTCTTTCAAGCAGTACATACCAAGCAAGAGGAAACGCTCTGGTATAAAGTTGTTTGTGCTTTGTGATTGTTACAGTGGTCTAGTATTGGATATTATTGTGTACACTGGAAGTTATACATTGCAAAATACCAGGAAGTTATTGGGCATCTCAGGTGATGTGGTTAGAACAATGATAGAACCATACCTTGGCAAGAGGCATATATTATATACAGATAACTGGTACACAAGCCCCTCACTCAGTGATTTTTTGCGAGTGAACATGACAGATGTGTGTGGACAGTGCGTGCAAATCGGAAAACATATGCCCAGGTTTGACACTGGCACTCGTTTGAGGTGAGGTGCAGGCGTTTTGCTGCCAATGACATCATGGCATTTCGGTGGCATGACAAATGAGATGTCACACTGTTGTCATCAGTTCACCCTAATGAAATGGCGGACACTGGCAGGCACCATGGAGAGAGCAATGAACCCATTCTAAAACCTGCAGCTGTGATTGATTACACCTTCAACATGCGTTCAGTGGACAAATGTGACATGCAGATTGGGTTTGCTGATTGTGTTTGCAAGAGTTATAAGTGGTACATCAAACTGTTTTTCCATCTTCTGGACATTTCCATGCTCAATGCTTATAATATGTATAAGATGAGGACCAGAAACAAACCACAGTACGGCGAATTCTGTTTGTCTGTCATCAGACAAATAGTATTCAAGTACTAAGGAACAGCACCTGCAATCGACCGCCCACCAAATTATCAACAACTCCTGCTGTCGGGAAACAGGGTGATCACTTCCGGGTAAAACTTCCTGCTTGCTTTAAAGAAAAAGGTCGAAGAGGTTTTTTAGTCTGTGACATAAAAAAAAAACGCCCACAACAAGCAGAGGGACACTCGTTTTATGTGTGGGAGTTTTAAAACACATGTGCTAACACCATGTTTAAAGATTCCCACAGGTGCAAAACTTCTAAAAAACTGTCCTGTGATTTATGTGTATAAAAAATATAGAAAAAAGTAATAAAAAAACATTTCTTTTCGTTTGTTTGTGAAAATATTTTTTATAAAAAAAAATAATACAACAGTGTTTATCCCCCTTATTGTAGTATTGAAAAAAAAATAACTTACAAAATAATGGTCTGTTGGTTCAGAGGCCCATAAAAGTTTCTCAGAAAAAAAAATTTAAAATAATAAAAAAAAGTAATAAAAAAGTAAATAGAAAAAACCGGGTGACGGCAGTCGGCGTGTTACCAGAGTTGTTAATTTTGCAAAATTCAGCCCCCTTCTCGGTAAATATTGCGGAAATTTTTTTTGTTTAGCCTATAAATGTTTAGGAAAAAAAAAAATTTTTTTTTTTTCATAAAAAAAACATTTTTTTTTTTTTTGAAATTT